ACTCGCAATCGAATCGCAGTGCCTGTCGATCCTGCAGCGTGCATCCCTGTGCAGCCCCCAGTCGCGACACATATCATGCCACGTCGCTGCAAAGACGCTGACATCACATATAATGTACACTCGAAAACTGCGACAGCTAGATCAATCCCGATCGGCTGCCAGCATCTGGGCACGGAGCAGCACAGTGGAGCTCTTGCTCAGCTTCTTAGAGCAAGACTGCTTCATTATGCTCATGAGAAGCTCAGCGTGCTTCGGGGTATGCGACGCGCTGCACTCTACGAAAAGACGGCGCTTCTGCTCATCATCGAAAAACAGAGAGTAACTCTTGTGAGTCCCGTACACAGCAACGATGTCACCCATGATCGGGTGCTTCCAGCTCCTGACCAGGGGCTCGCTGTCCACGGCACCAGTCTCCTCGATCAACGTCTTGGAGGTGGCTTTCTTGGGCGTCTTCTGGATGGTGACCTTCTCAGTGGGCGTCTTCTGGATGGTGGCCTTCTCAGTGGGCGTCTTCTGGATGGTGGCCTTCTGCTTGAGCGTCTTCTGGATGACGGCCTTCTCCTTCCTCGTCATCTGGATGGTGACCTTCTCCTTCTGGATGGTGGCCGTCTCCTTCTGGGTGGTGGTCTTCTCCTTCTTCAGCTTCTGGACGGCGGCCTCTCAGCAACAGCGGCGGGTTGGGGGCGAGGCGCCGCAGCTGCTCCCTCCTATTCGTCCCCCCCTCCTCAATATCCTCCTCGGCATCATCACCACCATCATCATAATCATCGTCAGCATCATCATCACCATCATCAGTATCATCGTCATCAACATCATCATCATCATCATCATCATCAGCTTCATAATCACCACCACACTCAGCATTATCAGTCTCATCATCACCGCCCTCCCCACCTCTGCTATCCCATTACTGGTCTGCATCTTCGGTCGAATCTGAAGCGGCCTCCGAATGAGCTGGGGTCCCACGGGCGCAACTAACCCAATCTGGAGCGCCCGTCGGCCAATCCAATCAGTCAATGCACACATCAGCTCGCCACCCTACGCTTTCCGAACGAACCAGCAGCACACTTGAGCTGGGCCCACGACCGAACAAGCAGACACAGATAACCACAACATCCCATTTCACAGAACATGCCCCGCGCCTTCCTCGTCGGCATCTGGTCGGCCATCTTGGCCATGGCAAGTAGACGGGACGGGTCCTTGGCGCCGTTCTTGGGCGGCGTGGTGTCGTCATCATGCACGTTCTCCTTCGCGGTGCGCTTGACCGCGGCGGGGGTCTCCATGAGCCACTGGCAGACGTCCTGGCGCGGTGGCGGGAGGGGGCCCCGTCTGACGGGAGGTTGCTTCATCCTCACTCTCCCCCTGGCTCCTCAGCCCTCTTGCCTCCCTCGGTCATTGCCCCTATCCCCCCTCCTTTTTCCCTAGTCAGTCCATCATCTTATGCCAACGTCGCTCTTCGTATTCTTCCCCCGATTCCTCCGTCCCTCGTCATATGTCCGCCTTCTCACTCTGCCAGTCAGGCGCACATCTTCAAGCCTCCATTCGACACAGTCCAGGGCCACAGTGATTCGGACAACCTCAGAAATTTGATGCGTAAGCACGTCATCATTCCGAAATGCAGCTGCCCTGACAACTTAAAACCGAGTACGGTTACACATGGTGGTGAACGGGTTGGAGATGATGACGATGATGATGATGCTGATGGTGATGGTGATGATGCGGATGATGATTATAGAGGTGATGTTAGTGATGTTGGTGATGATGGTGACGATGATGATGATGTGAAATTCACAAGCACAGCATGAGGCTTGACTTCCCGTCAACGTGCACTCCGTCCACTGCGAGTGCATTGCGTTGGCTTCCCACGAATAAGAAAATGAATTAAAGTTCCACCAGTGCAGCCAGAGCGGGTGCCATGAGGATTTGAACCACCACCCGCCCTCCTCCATCTCATAGCGCTGGGGTACTTGGTTAGAAGTGATGACGCTGCCCGACCGCAGCGGTGGAACTTTTGGCAACTGCGTGCGCAGGCAGAGCTTCAGTCCCTGAAGCGATCAAATTTCAGCCAGAAAGCCAAGTTCTTCATCTCATGATCGCCGAGCTCGGATATCTCGGCCGTTGCTCCACCCTGCGTCAACATCGATGGTTGCTGGCGCTGCTGCTCTGGCTTCTTCGGGATCTTCGGCTCGTGGTTCTTCGGCTGGATCGGCTGCGGCGTGCACGATGGCGCAGTCATGTGCTCTGGGCCCTTCGACTGGTCCTCCAGCGGCTTCGGGCTGTCGGCCGACGGCTCCTCGAGGTGCGGCGCGAGCTTCGTCTCCTGCTCTGCGTCACTCTGGCCGCTGCTCTCCTGCCCCGCCTCGAGACTTGGTGGCTCTGGCTGCTCCACGGGGGGCTGCGTGTCCGAGCCCGTGTCGCCACGCGGAGTCTGGCCCCTGGCCCAGGCCCCGACCTCGAGGGGCGGGGGTTCCGGACTGCTGGCGGCCTGGGCTGGCTGGGTGCCAACTATGAAGCCAAGCTGGCGCGCCATGATCCGCTCGGCTGGCGATGGGCAAAGCTCCGCCCAAGGCATGTCGGGCCGCGAACTCTCGCGCTTCGCCTGACGCCGAGCGTACTCCATGGCCCAGTCCTCTGCCGCGCTGCATGGTGCTGGCGCCCATCTCGGCTGAAGATCGGACTGCGCATCATCGGCTGGCTTCTGGCTGACCTGCTCGGGCGGGCTCGTCTTCTCCCTCAGGCGCCGTCTCTTCGGGGTAGCCGACGCGCCCTAGTGTTCGACAAAGATCGGCCGAGGGGGATGTCGAAGATGAGGAGCACGAGTAGGGGAAGGGACAGGAGTTTTGAAGGCGAGGAGGGGAGGGGCAATCACAGGCGGAGGGAGAAAAATGAAGAGGGAGGGTGGTACAGGCCATCGATTGCGGCGCCGCTCCTCCGAAGAAATGGTCTCGCACGATCCGCTGGCACGCGCGGGGCAACTGCCATCGGTCTCGAACGATCCGCTGTTCTCGACGGGGCGACTGGAAGCTGGCATCGCAGACTCCTGGGCCTGGTTGGAGGGGTCTGTCATATAGAGGCCGCGAATGATCTCGGCGCACTTCTTAACGAACTGAATCGGAAACTCTGGCATATACGCGCCTCTGATCTCAGGCGCAGCTTGGAACTCGTCACCCGATGGTTTTGCCTCGGAGGACAACAGAAAAAAACACAGCGGCACGTTTGCAATGGGGGGTGCAACGGGAGCGCGGGCACCCATGTAGGGTTCGACGGGGGGGGGGGGGGCTGCATTGGATGTGCCTCTGAGTATTTCTGTTCTCCCCAGCGGCCTTCTCCAGACCCCTGAACGCCGCGTCATCAGAAATGATGCGAATCTCCCCGAGGGCATCGCCTCCAAAAGCACCGAGGCACGTGAAACTCGTGACGTTGGCAACCAGGGTCCGCAGGCAATGCGCTGGCTTGTGCACCCACATGATCGAGGGCATCGGGTGCACCCACGCTTGATGCACCTGACACCGAACATCGAAAACCATCTTCAGTGTTCCGAATTTCCACGTCCACCTCCGCCTCCTGCAGGAGGCGGAGGTGGACGTGGAAATTAGGGGGAATGGAGGTGGAGGTGGACGCGGAGGTGGCCGTGGCTGCAGGGAGAATGGGGGAACGGAAGAACATGTTCTTCCCTTCCCCCATTATCCCCCCTCCTCGTTCATGTCGCCCTGGGCGGGCATGGAGTTTAAATCGCAGGCACCCCCCGAAGCCAGCAAATGGTCCCGACGATGGTGCACCGCTCGACCTGGAGGTTCGCGTCGTGTATAAGCTGCTGGCTGGCGCCCCCCCCTGGGTTGTCCTTCGCCCTCGACTGCGCGGCCGAGTCCGAGGGGGGCCACGTCGCAGTCAAGGGCGTAAAGAACACCGTGCCCCCCTGCTGGACGCGAAGGCTCAGCTCGAGGAGGTGAGCGAAGCCCTCGTCCGTCAATACGTCGTGCTGGCGACCGTAGAGGTCGTTGTAGGGTCTGCTCGGGCCGATCATGCTGCACTCCTCGGAGATGGCCGTGGACCCAATCACCTCCAGGCACACCAGGTCGCGCCGCTCGGGCAGGAGCGCGGCCAGGAACGGGGCGCACGCCTGGAGGATGAAGAGGAGGAGCTTGTCCTTGCTCGCCTTCAGCAGCGCCCAGCGCTCGGGGAAGAAAATCTGCTCGGCAACCTCATCCAGACCACGCTCGTCGGCCTGATGACGATCGGCGGACATGCAGGCACCAGCAAGGGCCTGCAGGGCCTGGGAGGGCGCCGCCTGGCGCCTGACCAGGGCTCCGCCTGGCAAGAAGAGCCAAATGTGCTCTACGGAATGTCTACGTCGTTCGGTGGCAACTCACGGGGGCCTCCCATGCCATCTTGTCGGCTCGTGCGAATCGGCGCCAGTCAGCACTAGTCGACGCTAAATCGACGCTACTCGAGGCTAGCCGACGCAACATCGGAGCTATCCCATCGACTCCCAGACGCTACTCGACGCTATAGCACCTGGCTCCCATGATTTGTGGCCGAACTATCGGGGCCCGCCGCCCGTTGCCAGCCCGCCTCTTATTTCCCTGACCCCGATCTACCCTGCCGAAACCAGCCCCTCCAAGAGACCACATGGGGCCTAGGCCGCAACAGGGCCACCCGAAGGCCATCGGGGGGACAACGAGGGCGCCCCCGACCCCGTTCAAACACCCAGCGCGCCCCCTATTCCTACGCTTCCAGTCGCGAAATTGAAGGGGCGGAGGGGGCAGAGGGCGGGGGAATACGAGGTGGTTGGCGAGAACATAACATACTCGGACAGGGACAACCGAGGGTGAAAAAGGGAGGCGATGGGAAAGACTGCGATTGAGGAGGAGGAGGGGGAGGAGGAGGAGGAGGAGGAGGAGGGGGAAGAGGAGACGGAAAAGGAGGAGGGGGAGGATAATGAGGGCGATGGAGGGGGGGATGGGGGAAGGTCGACGGAGCCCCCCGTGGCCGCGACAGTCCTGAAGGTCGTTCTTCGGCACGCCAAGCTGGTTGAGCTTCTGCTCGAAATCATCGCTGGAGTCCTCGGGCCATTTCGGTGGGGGTGCATGATTCCCCCCCGTCAGTATCCAGCATCATGGACATCTTCGCCAACATCATCGTCGTCACCGAAAAGCAAAACACTCGTTATCAGCATCAATATCAGCATCACCATCATCATCATCATCATCAGCATCATCACCATCATAATCATCATCATCACGGTTATCACCACCATCGTCGTCATCATACCCATCATCCTTATCACCAGCATCAACATCATCGTCAGCCTCAGCATTACCCTCGCAGTCCTCCTCATCATCATCAGCAGCATCACCATCGCCCTCGTCATTGTCATGTTCCTCCTCCTCATCATGACCAGCATCATCATCATTACCACACCCATCATCATCAACACCATCAGCATCATCATCATCACCATGGCCAGTCTAACATTTAGCACCATCAGCATCAGCATCATTACCCTCAGCATCATTATCACCATCACCGTCCTAATCATAACCATCCTATGCATCACCGTCGTCAGCATCGTCATCATCTTAATCATGTTCATCATACTCATCATCAGCACCCCCTTCTCCGTCACCATCCTCAACACCACCATCATTAGCACTGCCACCTCACCCCCACCCCCACCACCAGCATCATCATGACCACCACCATCCTCCTCCTCCTCATCCTCCCCTCATTACCTCATCAGCATCAACATCATCATCATCACCACCGTCATCCTTCTGACCCTCATCACCATTCTGACCCTCCGCATGCCGTCTGCTCCTCTTCCTACCCTCCCTGCTCCCGTACTTTTCCATCCCTACTCCCCCTCTCTCCATCCAGCCTGAGTCCTCGTCTCCTTTCCTGACTCGTTGGAGAACGGAGCAAGGCGATCCTCGTCCTCCACGGAGTCGTGGGCCATGGCGTCGTCCTCCACGGAGTCGTGGGCCATGTCGTCGTCGGGGGCGGCCGCCGTCTCGAGGGCCGCGATCGGCACCTCGTGGTGAGGAGGCGCGACCATCATCATCAGCATCATCATCATCATCATCATCATCATCATCATCATCATCATCCTCATCATCAGCATCATCATCAGCATCATCCTCATCATCAGCCTTATCATCATCACCATCAACTGCATCATCATCGTTATCATCATCAGCATCGTCATCATCACCATCACTACCACAGACGCCATCATACTCATCAACATCATCAGCACCACCAGCATCAACAGCATCATCATGTGCATGCGCATGGTCATTATCAGCATATTCAGCATCATCCCCTCCATCATCAGCATCACCATCGTCATCACCATCATCATCATCATCATCATCAGCATCATCATCAGTATCATCACCATCATCATCACCCTCATCAGCACCATCAGCGCCATCATCATTGCCATCATCATCACCATCATTCCAATCATCAACATCATCATCATCGTCTTCGTCATCGCCATCACCATCGCCATCAGGGTAGGGGAGTGAAGGGTTGACGCCCGAGCTACTGGGTCGAAGCGACATCGGCGGGTCGATGCCCCCGCCGACGACGCCCTCGATGACGGCGGCCTCGGGGAGGGCAACGGGGACGGCTCTTGGGAAGCCATCGGGGACGCGGCGACGGTCGGCGGGCGCCCCATGAGGTGCAAGAAATAGTTGATGGAGCTCACCTCTTTGTCATTGCAGGTCGCCAGGGCCTATGGGGCGCGCGGGTAGATTAGGGGCCTGCCAAGCTATCGGACCATGCGTTCCCCGATTCGGTGTGGAAAGTCTTCGGGGAACACGTGGGCATCTTGAAAGTCATCTTGGCCGCCTGGAGGCCATTGGGGGCCCGTGGGGGCTCGTGGACCGTCTTGGGGGCTCGTGGGCCGTCTTGGAGGCCATCTTGAGCGTCTTGGAGGCCTCTTGGGCCGTCTCGGGTGCCTCTGGGGGCCGTCGTGGGCCTCTCGGGCGATCTTTGGGTGCACTTGAATCGTCTGGGGCCGTCGGAAGGCAGGAACAAAAAAAAAGCAAATGCCACAATCCTTCAAACACTAATGGGAAATCAATCATTTTGACATTTTCGGCCCTTCGGAGGACGCCCAGCCGCAGTAGGAGGGGGAGGAGAAGGAGGAGGGGGAGGAGGAGGAGGAAGAGGAGGATCGAGGAGTTGGAAGAGGAGGAGGAAGAGGAGGATGAGGAGGAACAATCGGAGGTGACAATACCTCCTCATCAAAATCCCCCTGATGTGAAATCCCCCTCCTCGCGGCGACCTGGCGCAGCCGCGTCTGGCAGTCTCGGAGGCGCCGCAAGTGTTTGAGAATCACGCCGATCTTGTCGGCGAGACTGGCGGCCTTGTCCAAGGCTGAGGCCGTGGACTTCTCTGACGTGCATTTGGGGTACCTGGGGGGTACCAGTGGAAGCAGCAGAGGGAGACCATGACGATCATTATCGCCATCATCATCACCACCGTCATCATCACCCGCATCATCATTAGCATCATCATCATCATCAGCACCATCGCAGTCATTATCATCACTATGATCATTATTATCATCAGTATCGTTATCGTCATCGTCGTCATCAGATTCGTCACCATCGTCATCAGCCGCATCAGCATCGTCACCATAATCACCATCACCACCATCACCATCACCACCACCATCATCACCGTCATCAGCATCGTCATCAGCATCATCGAACTCATCATGCTCATCACCATCAGCATCATTATCATCGCAATCCTCATCATCATCATCATCATCAGCATCATCATCCTCGTTGTCATCCTGGCCCTCCGCATTTTCTTTATCATTCTGGCCCTCTTCCTGCCCCCTCCTTCTTCCATTCTCCCCCACCTCCCACCTCTCAATTCCACCCTCCTCGCTTCCTCTCCTCCATCCCTTCATCGCCGTGTCCAGTCCCCCTCTGACGCCACCACTCCCGCCCGCCAACCCCGAAGGCGCTTTCTACGCCCAAAGGCACGCAACGATGGCGGCGTGGCAAGCCGTCCGCAGCACAGAGAAGGTCGCGTCGACCTCTGGGATGTTGGTCAGCAGGACCTCCACCTGTCGCTCGATCTTTCCATTATCCTCATCCTCCATATCATCCACCTCGTCATTATCCTAGGTTCCCTCCTCATCGTCACCATCCTCCTGTATTACCTCCTCCTCCTCCTTCTCCTCCTCGCCCCCCTCCTCCTCCTCCTCATCCTCCTCCTCCTTTTTCTAATCCTCGCATTCCTTCTCCTTTTCCTCCTCCTCATCCTCCTCCTCCTTCTCCTCCTTCACCTCCCCCCCTCCGCCCCGCATTTCTGCGCTCCAGCCGCCAGCTCCGACACGTGGTGCAACGATCGAGCGTGCACCGCGCAGTCCCGCCTCAAGAACTCGTAGTGGCCCAAAACGAAACTCTTCTTCGAGCCGACCTCCTCCACGTACGCAACAAATGATCGGGAGAGGTCGGCGGCATTCACGGCCGGGACGGGGCGACGCACGGGGGGGGCACTCATGGTGCCAGACATGCTGGAACACAGCCAAATAGGCTGCGTGTGCGCGCGTTGCAATGGTGGTAAAAGTGCATAGGGGAAGGAGTGGGAGCCAGAATCAGAAGCATGCTCAACCCTGATCAGGGGTGACCATACTTCTGATTCTGGCCCCCACTCCTTCTGGCGATAGTGGGAGTGGAACTCCGAGAGCGGGGATGGGAGAAGAGAGCAATGCGCACTGTAAACGGAGTTTAGAATGAAGTGGGGTAATGGAGGTTGGGGTAGCATATGGAGCATGAGTGGACGCACCATTGGGTGCAGGAGTAGCGGGGGGGAGCGGGGGTAAGATAATAAGAGCAGCTAGGAACATACTTGTCGTGCTCACTCACTCCTAAATTCCTCGTTCTCCCCCTCCTCCCTGTTTCCACTCCTCCCCTCACCCCTCCATCTGCATCGCCATCACCATCATCATCCTCCTCGTCATCATCGCCATCATCACCATCATCATCATCATCATCATCATCAGCATCATCATCATCATGATGATCATCATCATCATCATCATCATCATCATCATCAGCAGCATCATCATCACCATCATCGTCATCATCATCATCATCATCATCATCCTTATCATCATCAGCAGCATCATCATCACCAGTGCGAACGGTTGAGGTGACGGCCACGATGACGACGAGGATGATGGTGATGACGATGGTGGTGATGATGGTGATGATGATTGTTGGGGCGATGCTGAGAATGCGGACGTTGTTGCGGATGATGGTGATAGTTACGGCGGATGTCGGGGCCCTCTGGGGGCCCCTCGCGACACCATTGCCCCCGAGCGCCGACGCCCCGCGGAGGCGCCCAGATAGCCCCGATGGGGCCCGCAAGGGCGCTGCAAGACAGGAGGGCGGAGCACGGAGGGGGGAAGGAAAGAGGGGGGAGAGGGGGGGGACCTCCTCCGCCTCCCCCATTTACCCCATGCGGGGCCTCGGGCACGGGCGTCTCAGCGATCTCGACCTGCAGGGCTGCGGCTGCGGCTGCAGAACTGCTTGTCAGCCTCGGCCCGCTGGGGTGGGCGCAGAATCGCCCGCGCGGGCGCGCCGATCTTCAGCCCAGGGCGCGCCTGCGAACGCGTCCTGGGCTGATGATCGGCGCGCGCGCGCAAGTGGTAATGCGCCCGCCCATCCACGGGCGCCTGGGCCCGAGCACGGGCCCGCGCCTCCGCTGCGTCGCGCGCCGCCACGGCGGCCGCGAGGACCGACACGGCATCCTCCCACTGGGTGCGGGCGCGGGCCCAGGAGCGCCACGCCGCGTCGACGGCCGCCTGCAACGTCTCTGCATCGAAGACGTCGGACGCCTCGAAAGCGTCGTCCCCCAGCAAGCGCAAGCGGGCTGGGGGCGGAAGTGGCGACGGCGCGGCGGGGCGCGCCGCTGGCTGTCCAGCCGCACTGTCCGCCAGCGCCAGCAAGTGTTCTGGGGGCGGACCTGCAGGCGGCGACGGCGTTGTGGGGCGCGCCGCTGGCGGTTCGGCATCATGCCTCGCCAGCAGGTGGGCTGGGGGCGGACCTGCAGGCGGCGACGGCGTTGTGGGGCGCGCCGCTGGCGGTTCGGCCGCACTGCCCGCCAGCAGGTGGCTTGGGGGCGGACCTGCTGGCGGCGACGGCACGGTGGGGCGCGCCGCTGGCGGTTCGGGCACCCTGTCCGCCAGCAAGTGGGCTGGGGGCGGACCTGCAGGCGGCGACGGCCCTGCGGGGCACGCCGCTCCATCGCGCCAGGGCTGCTCCTCCACGAGAGGCTGCTGCTCCATCGCGGCCGCGCTGCGCGCGGCTACCGCCGCGAGCTTGCAGCCCAAAAACAAGGGTGAGGAGGAGGGCAGCAGGATTGGCGCGACGGCTGCGCTTTCGTGGCACCTATAGGGAGCGCCACTCACGTTTCGTAGCACACCACTCACGTTTCGTGGCCCTATAGGGAGCGCCACCCAAGGTCCCAGTAGCGCCGTCCGCATGACGGCGCCGCCCCACGTTGGCGCACCCCTTCGCACATTTGATGCCCTGTTTGGGCACTCTCGGGACCGCGTTGGGCCCCTCGGACTCGGGGATCCCGCTGGAGGCTTCCCCGGGTCCTTACAAACCAAGCCCATAATCAATATTACGAGGAATTGTAGAACGGAAATCAGATATGGTAGAGGAGGGAGAAAAGGAGGATACAGGATTCTCAGCAGGCGGGCGAGCACCACGTGGATAAGGATGATCAGCAGGAGGAGGAGCACACTGTATAGGAGGATGATGTTGATGATGCCAGTGATTGATGGTTGACGTTATGGGACATGATGGTGGTAACATGGAATTTCAAATGATGGCTGTGATGTGCAGTAATGAATGTGGCAATGATAATCGAAATCGTGCATGCTGCAAAGGCGATTGATATGATGATGTTGCTGCTGATGATGATGATGTTGATGATGATACGCTGACGAATACGATTGTGAACCTGATACTGGTGACCACGATACTTGCATAGCGAAGCGCTACAATGATGAAGAGCACCGCCAATCAAAATCGTCAGCATTCCCCACCGACCCACCACCATCGCTCACCATCGTCATCGTCACCGCCGTCATCATCAGCATCATCAACATCATCATGGCCGTCGCCATCACCTTCATCATCATCATCATCATCATCATCATCATCAACATCATCACCATCATCATCGTCATCGCCATTATCGCCGTTATCGTCACCATCATCGACGGCCATTTTGGCACACCCTTTCACACGTGCCGTGGCCCCATAGGAAGCCCCACCGAAGGCACCAGTGGCGCCGTCCGCACGGCGGCGCCGCCCTACTTTGGCACACCCCTCACACGCTTCGTGACCCCAAAGGGAGCTCCACCTACGGCCCCAGCGGCGCCGTCCGCATGGTTGCGGACGGCGCAGTCCGCAGTGGCCCCTACGCCCCCAGCGGCGCCGTCCGCCGAGACCCTACCAGTGCGATCACATGCCAGTGTACCAACACGAGCTCGATATACCGCTCACGACCTCCACGCCCAAACGAACGCTAATCCAGCCCTCCTTAACCAACCGCACATATCAAACCGCGTGCTCATTGTTATGCAACGGTGGTCTGGGATGATTGGCTGCCCCATCCATCTCCTCCGCCTCGTCCACCCACCCTCCTCTATATGTGGTGAAGGTTTGCGGTTCAGGGTTCAGACGCCAAGTCTTGTGACACAGGGGCCCAGGCTTCTGGCTTAAGAACTCCACCAGGCTATGAGTCCATGACTGGACAGCATGGTTGTGCTTGGGCATACTGTCTAAGTTGTGCCAGTTTTTTTTTTTTTTTTGGGGGGGGTGGTCTGTGTTGTCGTGATATTTGATGGGTGCCGCATGTTGTGTAGCATGGTTGCAAGCACTGTTTGGGGCAGCGCGATGAGATTACACATGTGGCATATGGGGCATACCTAAGCCTAATTTCACGTGCGGTACCTTGCAAAACGACACTGCGATACCCTGATGTACCCTGCAAAGCAACCATACAACCCATTGCAACTCACTTAAGCAACCCTGCAATGCCCTGCGCAACGACACCCTGCAAGTACATTCTCCCTGAGGGGGTTCCTTCGGGGTCCTCGCTGTGCTTCGAGATGGCCCCTAGGGTGCTTAAAGAGGCGTCCTGAAAACTCCCGAGACGTTGCACGTCGGAGACCCAACACAGCGAACTAGAATGCACACGGTCATCACTGAACTTTGCACGTGCACCACTACAACGACATTATTGTGCCTGGTGTGAGTTTCGTAGTGATCGTGTTGGCGATGGCTCAGGTGGTGATGGTGGCAGTACTGATCTTACGATGGCGCCCGCGATGATACCGATGTTGACGCAGATGATGGTGACGCTGGTGTGTCTGCCGATGCCGATGATCATGGCGATGGTTGTGATGGTGGGGGTGGTGGTGGCTAGTTAGTAAGGCGGGTTGTGCATTGAAGCCGCGGCCGAATTGAAGTCGCAGCCGTAGGTTAATAGTTTAGAATGTGCATGCACAGTGCTGCTAGTAATAGTTTAGTAAGTAGTCAGTAGCTTAGCTGAGTGCAGTGGGTACTTTATGTAAGTAACTTCGGAATCTAGTGTAGTTTGGTTAATGGTCCAGTTCGTGGGTTAGTCGTTTACACCTACAAGCACACGTACGCAGCAAACGTTTGCAGCGATTGGCAAGCAAACGTTTGACGCGCATGTGTGTTCGAAGCGCGATTTACACACGATCGAGGGGCGCAAGAATCGGTCGTGAAATACCGGGATTGGAGGACGCTCGCGTCGTCGGTTTTCGGGAGCGAACATGCCGAAGAATCGGTCGCGAAATACCGAGATCCCGAATCTGAATCCCAGTATCGACATCACGCGCACTTCGTCTTGCAATACCGGGATTGGACCACTCGTTTTGATTTTCGGTCGCTCCCCATCATGCAAACTCGCTACCGAAAATCTTCGGTAGCGCATCATCTGGGTAGGCGCGGCCGGAGCCGACGAGGCGCGCAGACCCTCGAGATCGAGCTTACTAGCGTCGCCACCGTTGCGCCC